CTGCAATGGAGTGATAGTGGCATTGGGAGCGATGGGACCCAGTGGGAGGGGTCATAGGTCACTGTGGTTGTGCTCCCAGAAGGCTGTTCTCGCATGGCCTCTTGAGTTCCTGCAAAAGGCTCATTCTGAGAGACCGAGTTGGTCCTGTGCCCTCATGCTTTCTCTCTGCCCCTGACCCACTGGGTGACCCTTCCTCCCTGCAACTTTGCTGTCTGCCAGGGGGGCTTGGCCAGAGCTGTATCCAGTCATTTGGAGCTAAACATGCCTCTCCCAAAGCAGCTTGTCTCGGGTATTCTGGGATAGTAACAAAGAGCTGAGTAATTCAGAATGGAAAACAGAGGAACTCTTACCTGCCACCTGTCTCTTGGAACCTAAGATGAATCAATAGCAGAGCCCACCCTTTCCTGGCTGCTAGAGTGTGGCTTCTAACGTCGTGGTCTCCCGAAGGCCTGGGCTTCCTTGGCGAAATGGCTGCTCCAGTTCTGGATGAGGAAATGTGCAGCTGGCACCTGGAGCAACTCGTCACACCAGTGACCAGCAGAAGGGTCATTGGCCACCCAGCCCCTCAGGTGTAGGTTAGAATTGGAGGAGGCTCCACTAACCAAAGACAGGTTTCTTTTTGTATCCATCAGGATAATAGCTGCTATGAACTGACACACAGCAGGTATAATATTTGAATCCACACATTCACAGTGATATCCCAAAGGTAGGAGAGCCAAAAGCAAACTAAGTGTTGGTCGCTTTTGAAGGATGCCAGGGGAACAAAACTGTTGTCGTGAAAATTGGTGAAGACAGGAAGAGGCTCCAGAAACCCCTCAGCTGACTTCCCCGGTATCACATTTGAGCAGGACTGGGTCACATGATCAACTGAGTTACAGGGCAAGTTGGGAAAATAAGCATTGGTTCTCTCTGATTCTGAGGTGGCAGGTGGGCATGGGTGGGGGGGTGGATTAAGAACAGTGTTGGGCCCATAAATGAGCCATGATGAAATTAAACGGCACTGACACTGTGGCACAGCAAGTTAAGCCACTGCTCACCATGCCAGCATTCCCCATTGAAGCGCTGGTTCAAGTTTGGCCATCCTGTTTCTGATCCAGCTTCCTGTTAAGGTGCCTGGAAGGTGCAGTATGACAGTTAAGTGCGTGGGTGCCCACTGCCCACATGGGAGACCCAGATGCATCTCTTGGCTCCAACTTCAGCTTGACCCAGCCCTGACTGTTGCAGTCATCTGGGGAGTGTTACTCTGTCTTTAAAATAAATGATGTTTTTAAAATGAGCAATTAAACTAAGTACATATTCCTGCCCCTCAGCAGCATGATCTGTACGATTTACACTCATTTTTCAGAGGGGCCTTGGTCTGTGCCTAGTGCACCCAATATATTGTGGTTGGGTGCTGCTGTCTGCTGCCCAGGGCAGCTGTGCCTATTTAAAGGAACCCTGGGGTGTGTATGCACCCACTCCTGGTCTTTGGGGCTGCAAAAGCTGATAGGTGGAACATGATGCAGACTGGGCAATATGGGATGACAGCACGGGACATGTGAATGCAACGGGTGGCTGTGCTCGCGACTCTGCTGTGGGAGGTACACATGTCAAAGAGCTGTCACCTTGGTCGGGGGATCGGGACAGGAGCCCTGACAGAGGTAGACGCTGGCCTCGTGCGTGGGAAACAGCAAAGGTACACAAGAGAGGGCTCAGGATTTGTTTGCATCCGCGTGACGGGAGGATGTGGCTTGTGTGGCAATCCAAAGAGCTCCCAACATGTCACCTATTTCAGTGCATTTAACCTCCCACTAACCAGGCCAGGCCGCAGCTCAGAAGGCAGTCATGGAATCTACCCACTTGGCTTCCTCTACCCGTCATCTGTTTAACGTGTCCTTCCACCGCAACCATCTAACGAAGAGGTCACAGGATCCCCCCCCTAGCCAATTAGCACCCTCAGTCTCCTTGACCACGACCCAACCACCTAGCTAAGAGGTCACATGATCCCCCTTTTAGCCTCTCAGTCTCCCTGTGATTGGGCTGCTAGTGGTCATTTGACCCAAACCACCGCACCAGAAAATCAAGATGATGTTAAGAGACAATTGGGGGAACCTGGCGGCGTAGCCTCGCAGCTAAAGTCCTCACCTTGAACGCACCAGGATCCCATATGGTCGCCGGTTCTAATCCCGGCTGCTGCACTTCCGGTCCAGCTCCCTGCTTGTGGCCTGGGAAAGCAGTCGAGGACGGCCCAAAGCCTTGGGAACCTGTACCTGTGTGGGATACCCGGAAGAAGTTCCTGGCTCCTGGCTTCGGATTGGCATAGTATCGGCCGTTGCAGTCACGTGGGGAGTGAATCATCGGACTGAAGATCTTCCTCTGTCTCTCCTCCTCTCTGTATATCTGACTTTCCAATAAATAAATAAATCTTCTAAAATAGAAAAAGAGAGAGACAATTGGGGAGGGATGTTAGGGGGCGGCTTGTTCAGATTCTAGATCCGGAAGCCATTTGTGCCATTTTCCCTTCTGTGCTGAGCCCTGTCCCAGCGTTCTCCACTGTCCGGCTGTCAGGTGTAAGCCACCTAGCCTGTGCTGGGGTTAGACCGGGGCTGCTTCCTGGGGAGGGTTTGTGTGCTGCAGGCTGTCCTCTTGTGTGGTGCGAGGTGATGGAACCTGAGAGTGGAGGTTAGAGCTTGGAGATGCGACTGGCCGCCCCCTGGTGGCTCTGGTTTCACTGTATGTTCCGTTTCCCTTACACCTACAGCAGCTACCATGTTGGGATGCAACCCCAGGGTCTCCACAAGAGGCCAAACATCTCGTACTCTTAGCCTCCCAGATCCGAGCGGTATCCGTCTCTTCTTTAGTTTTTTTTTTTTTTTTTAATATTTAGTTTTGAAAGGCAGGTTTTATATAGAGAGAAGAAGAGGCAGAGGGAGGATCCTTCATCTGCTGGTTTATTCTCCAAGTGGTTATTGCTGTTGCAGGCCTGTGGGGGAGGCCAGGCCGGGACAAAGCTGGGCATCGGAAGCTTCCTCCAGGCTTTCTGTGTGAGTGCAGGGGCGCAGCACGTGGGCCATCCTCTGCTGCTTTCCCATGTCATAAGCAGAGAGCTGGATTGGAAGCGGAGCAACCGGGACTCAAACTGGCACTTACATGGGATGCTGGCTTTTGCAGGTGGAAGGCGAGCCTACTGTGCCACAGCACCAGCCCCCAAACTCTTTTCTTCATAAAGTTCTTGGCCTCAGGGTTTGTTAGAGCACCAAGAAACAAACCAACACAACGTGCAGACTCCCCCTGAAAGTGTACAGTTCAATACTTTCAGTGTATTCCAGAGGTTGGGCAACAATGGCCCTATCCGTCTTAGGGCTTCCTCCATGCCTGAGCCTGAGCCTGCTGTTCCCTGCGGGCCTCCTGGGTTACCACCTGTCTGCTTTCCAGATCTAGGAATTTGCCTATGCCAGAAATTTCCTGGCAGTTCTCATTCCTCTAGGGCTCACTTCTCTGACTCAGAGTATGTTTTCAAGACCCACCCATACCATGGCAGAGGACACACAGCCTGTGGAGCTGGTCACCTAGGAAAAAGGACCTGATGGGCAGAGACAGGAAAGGGGCGGAGCCTGCTGCAGCCTCCCTCCCACCCCAGCATGGCAGAACAGGGCGCCCCCCCGCGGGCAGTAGCAGGAGCTGAGAGTTGTCCACCACACTGTGGTCACATTCAGAGCAGCCACGAGGCTGGGCATGCCTTGCACCATGGGGTGGAGTGCAGACAGCCCAGATGTCAGCCGCGCTGCCCACTTCTGCCCAAGGCTGGCACACTCACCCTCAGGTGGGACCCCTGCGTTGCCCACCCCCACCCTGGGCTAATGGAACCCTCCCTCTCCCTAGAGGTTCTGCACCAGCTCCTCCTGTAAGAAGCTGGAGGAGATGCGATTCTTCCTGGCTTTCCCCTTGGCTTAACACAGCTGGTAGCCAAGTCTGACCTGGCTTCACCAGGAGCCCTTGGTGTCTGTGAGGGCCAGGGGTGCTACACACAAGGGCTGGGGCCCAAGTGGAACCTGCAGCAAAGGCGGAGGTCAGCTGTCCTGTCTGCAGGGCAGGGGCTGCCAAGCACACGGCAGAGTTCCCAAACTCCCTGGTTTTTCTCTTACAAAAAAACAGAAATGCAGATTTCTATGGGAACTCTAAATTGGCTGCACTGTGTGTTATTGCCACCCCAGCACGTTCAGGCACCCTCTGTACCCTGAGAGGGTTGACTCTTCTCCATTCTCTGGATCTCTGGGTTCCAGTTGCATTTGGCCCTGCGACAGGTGGGTGGATCACAAAGTGAAAGGTGCCCAGGCAGGCAGGATCTTATCCCCTCGTTTCAGGCCACACCTCCCCTTCCCCCACACACCAGGCAGCACTTCTGGCAGTGGATGTGTGCTGCCACTCCTGACGGGGGCTGGAAAGAACTAACCCTGCAACCCTTTGTGGGTTCTTCTCACGCTGACCTTGTAAATGCCCTGGGAACACAGCCCCTTCCTCCATCATGTGCCCTTTGGAATGTGCCCTCTCTTCCCTGCTGGAAGGCACCCATACCATCTCACACCACTGAGGAGGTGGCCCTCCACTCTGGCTCCAGCCAGCCTCGGGTCTGGGTGGTAGTGGGGAGGAGGAGGGTCCAGCTGTGTGCTCAGAGCGCTCCCCAGGTCAGCAGGCAGAAGCCCAGAGCTTCACTTTGCCCAGCCCGGCATGGTGGACCACAGGTACGCATGTACACACCAGGTGTGGGAACAAAGGGGGCGATCCAAAGCAGACGGGAGGCAGCTTGAAATGTGTCCAACCAGTTTAATAACTGAGGGAACATGCAAATGCCCAACTACATAGCACCAGGGAGACAGGAGGCAGGGGGCCGGGAGAGAGGACACTACAGCACTGTCAAGGGGCAAAGGGGCGGGGCAGAGGGGTCCGCTAATGTCGACAAGGGGAAGGGGACGGGCCGCTGAAGCAAGAATATGACCTCTTCCTCCAGGAGGGCCACAAGTAGGAGCCAGCTGGTCACCTTCACTCCCGGACATAAATTCTCGTGCAGACCACATCGTCGGCGCCAAATGTCTGCAGAAAAGAAAAGAAAAGGAAAAGCAGTCAGGATGGAGGGCTGTGCGCAAACGATGAAAGCAGCTTACGATCAGGCAGGCTGCTGGCTGCCCACTAACAATGCCAGGAGAGCTGGTCAGTTTGCTGAGCTGCGCACACGCGCACGTATGCAAAGAGTTCCCGGTTGGTGGGGCAGAAACTGGGGCGTGCAGACCTATGCCCTGCTCAGTTTTCCTTTGCCTGTGGGACCTTGGAATGCTGCAGAAGAAATGCAGCTTCTTTCCCTAGCTTTGGTGTGGAAGATTAAACTGGAAGCAGCAAGAGTCAGCATGGGTTTTTGTTCTGTGTCACCTTTCAGATGACTTTGGGAGAGTAAGGTGTTGTGGGTCTTGGGAACCAGCGCTGACCAGCCAGACGGGATGGCTTGAGGAAGCCGACCTAAGCTGCCGCTTTGCAGGAAACAGCCACCTGTGGCCTGGGAGCTAGCTGGAGATGCTGAGTTAAGTACCACTGGCTCTCCAGTCCACAGGTTCTAGAGCCATGAGTTTCATTAACCAACCACCAGGGCTGACTGCCACACTGCAGCCCCCCGTCAGCTGGAAGCTGGCTCTCAGCTCCGGGAGCACAGAGTTGGCATCGAGAGTGCCAGCTGCACGAACAGGAACATGGCAGGTCCTGTCTTGGCCTGTCTAGGACCAGGTGGCAGAGCTGGGGAGGGGAGAGTGTCAGGGAGTAGGGGCTGGGGCAGAGATGCAATGGTACAAGATGACCCCCCCCCCCCCAAGGCCCTGTGCAGTTAGCATACTCCCTCTGTGCTTTGCTGTGGGGAACACACCAATCATTCCACAGCTGCAGGAGGGCATTTTTTCATCCGGCCCCTGATAGGATAACCGCTCCTGAGGAAGCTGGCTTGGTTTTCCTTAAAACCAGCAATTACTCACAGGCCCTGGTCTCCAGGGCCTCTGGCAGGGAGGCAGAATGAGGAAAGCAATGTGCACGTTAAAAAACAAAACAAAACAAAAACAGAAACCAGCATCTCTGCAGAGCCCACAGGTCTGGCGTGTGGTAAGAGGTCAAGGACAGGACCAGGCCGACAGCAGGAAGGACTTCATCAGCCTGGGAGCCTGGGAGCCAGCCCTCCCGGGGTCCCGACATACTCAGAGGACATTGGCCCTGCGTGTTGTGTTTCAGGAAAATAAGTCTCTCCTGTAGCGGCCCCGAGGGAAGTGGTTGGCTTTTTCTGGGGTAAGGGGCATGGACGAGACTATGTGTAAGGGGTTTGTACGTAACAGGCTGAGAGACCAGGTGGGCAGGGTCTCCAAGCATCCCTCCACATCTCCAATGTCCGTATCCCTCAGAGCTAGGTCAGCTTTGCACACCTCTGGTGGCGCTGACCTGGTCCCTGATCGGTCAGCCAGAAGCTTTCTTTCGGACTGCTCAGTGGTGCTAACAAAGGCTCCCTATTTCCAACCACATTCGTGACAGCTTTTTCACAGCTTGTAAACTATGCTCCGTGATTCCCAAAAGAAATTCTCTGTAGAATATTCTGGAGTGGTTTTGGGGGAAATGGGGAGAGGCGGGGTACACTCAGTTTGCAAAGGAAGGCAAGTTACAGCCCAGGGGTAATTTATGGTTGGCGCTGGAAGAGCTTTATTCCGACTTAACGAGAATAATTCACCTCTCGTTACACAGAGACGGTGTCTGCCTGCATTTCGGATTTATGAATGATCATCATCCGAGAAACAAAAGCCCACATTCCGGACCTCAAACACCAAGGATTAATACTTCCTTTGAGACTTGCATATGCGTTGGCTGAGCTGGGGGGGGGGGGCGGGCAGGGAGAAGAAAAGGATTGCAGAAAGCAATGTAGAAACAGTGCAGTTGTTCTGGCAGAATGTGGATCATGACGCTGATGGCTCAGGTACTACACAGCTTAAAAAAAAAGAGCTCACATGCTCAGAGCTGGCCCTTCTTAGCCCTCAGCTATGTTCAGGAACTTTCTCTCAGCTCTACCCTCCTTCCCTGCTTGGTCTTGGTTACCAGAGGTGCCATGTCTCCCAAGCACCCCAGCCTGCTGCCCAAGTCCACCCAGAATCCCTTCCCTGCAAACAGCACTGCTCAGGTTGCAAAGCAAGCCGGGGCTTCTGCCATGGAAGGAGAAAAGCGTTTTACATCATCCCGGGAAGGGATGAGAGAAGAAGAGTGAGCGAGTGAGCGAGCAGGCAGCTCAGGTCACAGAGGCAGCCCCACGCAGGGGCTCGCTGCAGATCACTGCAGGGTTGAAGGGACCTCGCGAACCAAACTCCAGCTCAACCCTTCGTTTTCCAGCAGGAGGACAGCGCCCAGAGGCGGGATGGGAGGACAGCGGAGTCCGTCTCTGGCACACCTCACCACCTCACCGGTGCTCGCGACCGGCATTTTGGGGGTGTCGCTCACTCCGATGGGCCTGGCTGGCAGAATGAGGGGAGAGCTGAGAACAAAACGCCTTGAGGGGAGAACAAAGGCTGGGATTTCCTAGTTACCCACAGAGAGCCTTTCCCTCGTCTGTGGGTGGGGGTGGGGCGGAGCATGGTGAGGGGCTGTGGCAGTGGGGGTGGGGGAAAGCTCAGTCAGTCCAGAAACACAAAAGGGAACCCCCCCGACTCTGGGGTGGGGTCTGCTCCTCTATCTGGAAGACAGTGTGGGGAAAGTTAAGAGGGGAAGCAGGAGATGAAAACTCCAGGGTTTTTAACCTGGCCTGGCCAGGTGAGTCTTGGGGTAAGTGTCACCTGCCAGGCAGAGCCCCCAGATCCTCCAGCCCAGCCCAAGGGGAGGCTGGGATGGGGACAGGGACTCCAGTCTGCTGCCAACGGCCTGACAACCACTTCCCCTGACCCCACGTCCAGGCATCCTCACCAAGATGAGCTCGTCGTTGGCCAGCTCCCGGGTCCAGTAGGTCTTGGGGCCATCGCCTTCCAGAAGCGTCTGTGTGCAGTGGATCTTATTCTCATTCTCCCAAGTGGGTAAACTCTGCAGGCAGGAAACCCATCAGTGACGGTAATTACAGTCCCGGCAGCGGGAGCCCCGACAACAATGAGACACGGGAGAATGATGGCTGTGTGGCAAGCAACACATGGTCCCTGTCCCCAGGCACACAAGCGTCTCCCCCAGCCTCACGAGGAGGCTCACGTTCAGATCTCGTGGCGTGGGAATCCACCTCAGGTTTCACACACCCGCACACACGCATGTAAGGTGCATGCACACGTGTGAACACACACTCACTGAAGCAGCAAAGCCTCAGGCACCCTTAACACCCCAGGAAGGACACGGCAGCAAGCCAAGAGTCATTTCTGTCAAAATGGATGGCTTCTGAAGCAAGTGGATTTTCCAAGACCTGTCACATCAGAACACTCCCACACTGGTTAAACCTCCACAGGCTGCCTCACCCTAGGCCTCCTCAGCAGCCTGCAAATGTGACCCCCACGACAGATTTGGGGGTCACTTTTATGCCCCCAAATTATGATTATGAAATCAGCCCCGGGCGCTCCCAAACTAAAAATGCTTGCACATCTCGAGGTGGGAAAGGGGTTACATCCTTTCAGAAAACCACCTGCAGTCTTCCTGCTCCCAGGTGAGGATCAGCTGGCCTGAGGCGGGGCCGGGGCAGTGCCCCATGTACCCATAGTCAGTTTTTAACATAGGAGTGCCTTCATTACGCATGGGCATGGCAGGACCATTGGGTCCCATGCTCTAGGCTCTTGCTCCAACACCCTGCTCTTTTGTTTCTCAGATCTCAAGCCTGAGTGATACTAGTTTTGCCAGGTGAAGACCTGGCAGGTGAGCCTGCTCCTGCAACCTGGAGGGGAGGGTGGTGGCCTGCCCACAGCCTCTGGGGACAGGTGGAAGAAATGACTCCCCTGGGAACTTGTTACTTTTTAAAACCCCAGGGAAAGGCTGGTTGATGTGAACATCACTTGTTAAATGAGAGAGGTTTGGGAGCAGATTTTTCCCTTGGCCTCATCAAGTGCAATTTTTGCCTTTACCCCCACAAAATACAAACAGACAAAAGGAACAGACAACCCCTTGCTTCCATCCACTAACCCATCCCAAGGGCCCATTCTGCGGACATTTTTTTTTTAAATCCTGTCCTTGAGGGCACCGAGTCCGTGTTCCCAGCCAGAACCCGCCCTTGCTTTCGCAACCATTGCACGGGTTCCTTGACCGAGGAAGAGCGCGGCCGTGCGGGGCGAGGTGCTGAGCCCCTGGGGCTGCCTGGAAATGGAAACACGGTGGGTCGGGGCGGGCCCCAGGGGAGCTGCGACTCCACCTGCGACAAGGAAACGTGGCCTTGGCGGCGGCCCAAGAACCTCCTGCTCTCACACGCCCCGGGGCGCTGCGAATCCCTGTAAAGACCCAGCGGGAGAGGAGGGTGACCCCGAGCCTCGGGAGGCCGCCTAGGGCCGGCGTGGGGAGCAAACAGGGGTGGGATTTTCTTCCCATTCTCAAGGAAGCCGGGATGCGCAAATCCTCACCGCCACCGCCCCCCGGGGCTGCAAACCAAGCGGCATTCCGGCGGCTGCGGGGGCCACGGGGAAGGCGCACGCGCTCCGGGGCTCACCCTGCACTTGCGCCCGTCCACAGTCTCCTCCTCGAAGCCTTCTCCGACCTTGAAGTTGATCTCGGTGGTGCGCACCGTGGTGGAGGTCTTGATGTAGAACTGATCTCCGTCCTGGCGTATCTCCACGTGCGGCTTGGACGCGGCCGCCACGGCCACCTTCCGCAGCATGGCATTCACACCTGTGCGGCGGGGAGGGGCGTGACACAGGGCAGGGGGAGTCTCCCACCATCCGCCCGTCGCCCCGGAATCGCCGGCTGTATTATGCCAGGGCCTTAGAATGGATCCTCTCCTCACCCCCCACCTCACCTCTCCCTTTCCTGGCCCTGTTTGCTTCAGGATACGGAAACTGAGGCTCAGAGAGGGTGAGCGGCTCCACGAGAGCTGCACAGCGGTACAGCCCGTCCTCAAAGTATCCCGATTTAAAATCCTTGTTCCCCTCCTCGCACTCCAAGAACCACTCCTGGCTTATGATCTGGCCCGTTTGATAAAGGCCGTGCTGTCGGGGGAGGCAAACGCGTGCCCAGCATGGGTCGCGCCCCTCGAGGACCCGTGTGAGTCTGAAAACCAGGCAGCGAGTGATCGCACTCCCCTCTTTTCTTCCCCGAGATCGATCCTCCCTCCCCTGGGTTCCCTAACGCCCGCTCCCTTCGGGCTCTGGGCACCTCGAAGCCGCTTCCACCTCCACCCGCTCCCCGTCGGGGCGCGCGCCCCAGGCGCCGGCTCACCCAGTGCCTTGAGCAGCTCATCGAAATTCTCGCTGCTGCGCATCTTCCAGGTGCCGGCGAAGTTGGGCATGGTGGCGGCGTCGGCGGCGAGAAGGCGGAGCGGGCAGGGGCGGCGGGCACACTGCGAGCTGCGAGTTGCGAGCTGCAAGGCGGAGACTGGCGCCGTGCGCCCAGTTGCGCGCGCCTTGAGTCACGGGGCGAGCGCCCCCCACCCACCAGCCCGGGCCCCGCCCCTCACGCCCCGCCCCTCCGCCCCTTGCCCCGGGCTTGCCCAATTCCCGCCCACTGTGCCCCCTCTCCGCCCCCTCGGCCTTCCAGTCCGACCCCCCAACCCCCGGGGTTACAGGCCTTGGGACTTGCTCTCCAACGGAGGGCGCCTGTGTCACACCCACCTCCCAGGCCACTGGAGTCCTCCTGCTTTTCAGATGAGAAGAAGGAGGAGAGACAGGCTTGTCCGGAACTGGGCACTGGAACTGTTCCCTCCACTTTGGGACATGTTTGAAAATATCCGTATTCGGACTTTAAATCGGGGGTGGGGTCATCAGTGAATAAGGGGGTCACTCTTGCCTCATCCCCGTTCTTACCGTCCACCTGTGCCCAGCTTGCTTCTCCCTTCCCCCCCCCCCCCCCGTTACCTGGACGCCCCAGTCAAGTTGTGAGAGATTGTGGGTCCCCAAACTGGCAGGGCAGGAGCGAGCATGGACCACCATCCTTTTGTGAGTGGCTTGGGGCACACTGCAGGGCGCCACGGGGGGACGGGTGCATCAAGTGGACCCTAAACCAGGCGGGTGTGCCTGGGACAGCAGGCCTGGAAGGCCACCTGGAGGAGGTATACTGGCTTCTCCTTTGCTCCCAAATAAATAGCATTCATGTCTGGACTCAGGGCTAACACTTCTCTCTGCCTTTTCATCCAGCACCTCGTCCGCAGCTCCATGCCCCAGCCAGCACAGAATTCTAGAACTTTCTCCACCCCTATCCACTACCATTCCTTCACCCAGGGGATGCTCTCTCCCAGGAACACCCTTTTCCTCTGGGAAAAACACACCCCTCAAACTTGATATCTTTGTGCACCTTCATCCGATAAAATTCCATTAAAAGAAAACCAGAGACTGGTGTAATGGGTTGTTTTTCCTTAATTCTGTTTGTGTCTCTGTATGGAATATACACGTATACATTTACCTGCAAGTGGATATACATCAGCGTTTTGTGTTCTTCCATTTTTCATAATTTTCTAAGTTGCCTAGATTTGGGGAGCTGTAATGTGCCACATACACTGCACTTCATCTGTGAATGCTGCAAGTTCTTTAGCCACAGGCGCAGCTCTATAGGTAGATCTTGCTTGATAATATTGACTTCGAAATGGTTATACATAAACAGACACTTACTAAAAGTGAGTTACTAAAGTGACTTCCTGAAACAGACACTTACTAAAAGTCTTTGTAAACTTTTCAAGAATGTTGGTTCACAGTTGGGAATGTCTTACCACGGAGGTACCTATTTTGAAATGTCAGTTCATAGGATGACAACGTACACGTGGAATGTGACACACAGGGCCGGGACATTGAGGCGTTTACCATGTGACACGCTGCGTTACATGGCTGCCAGTTCAAGTCCTGGCCGCTCCACCTGGGGTCCAGCTTCCTGCTAGGGGGCCTGAGAAGGCTGCATAAGATGGCCCACGTGCTTGGGCCCCTGTCGTTCATGTGGGAGACACAGATAGCATTCCAGGCTCCTAGCTTCGACCTGGCCCAGCCCTGGCAGCTATAACCATTTGGGAGAGTAAATCAGCAAATGGAAACTCTCTCGGTAACTCTACCTAAAGATCTTCCATCTGCTCCCCAAGCAGCAGCAACAGCCAGAGCTGAGCCGATCTGAATCCAAAGCCAGGAGCCTCTTCCCAGTCTCCCAAGTGGATACGGGATCCCAAGGTTTTGGGTCATCCTCAACTGCTCTCCCAGGCCACAAGCAGGGAACTGGATGGGAAGTGAAGCAGCTGGCACACGAACCAGCAGCCATGTGGGATCTCAGTCATGCAGGGCTAGCACTTTAGCCACTAGGCTATGGTACCAGACCCTTTAAAAATAGGATTTTTTTAAAAAGCTTCTGTAACAGTATTGTAGAAGTGATGCTCCAAATATGTTCTTGCAGAAATCATTGAAAGAAACTAGGTTAAATTTGAGCTTGTTGCTTGAAGAATTTTTTTTTTTTTTTGCCCTGTTCGGGCATCTGCCTTGTGAAACGCTGTTTCCTGACTTCCTTGCAGTCACAGGATCTCCGTTTGGTCCTGCCCTTGTCTCGGCTTGGCTACCTCCTCCACCGCCCGAGCTCTCCGAAGGCTGTGATTGAGCGCTTGTCAATGTCTCCCCCGCCTCGGGCGCAGCCAGGTGGGCTGCATTGATTGACGAAAGATGGATGAGTTCTACAGGCAATGGGGGTGATGAGATGTCCCCAGGGTCTCCCAGGGCAGGGGAGGAGGGGGGCGCGTTAATGTCTTCCAAAGGAGACCCAGGACCTGGCTGGGGGTGGGGGGGGGTGGGGGGAAAGGGGCAGGACTTTGGCCTGGAGACCCCAAGAAACTTAGAGAGCTGCTCAGGGTGGGAGAGGAGAGAGGAATAATCCCCCCCCCCCCAGCTGGAGGTGGTGTGAGCAAGGTTGGCTGGCTGGGCAACCTGTGCAATCACATGGCAGACCACGAGCTGTGGAGGCCTGGCAGGATCGGAAGCCAGGAAGCAGGCAGGCTCTGCTATTGTCGTCTTGAAATTCTTAATGGCTTTTTAACAAGGGGCCCTGCATTTCCGGATCTGCAGATGACGTCGCTGCTGGGGGAGGCGAAGGATGGGGCTGCTTTGCTGTCAAACCCCATTTCACAGGGATATGCCGGGTGTGCGTGGGGGGTGGGCTCTGCCATGAGGGCGCCACATGGGCTAGGGAAGCCTCGGGCAGGCGGCAACGGGAGGGCACCATAGTTTTCTGTTTTGTTTCCATTTTGAAAGGCAGAGTAACAAAAGGAGAGATCTTCTGTCGGCTGGTTCCCACAAGGCCACCACAGCTGGAGCTGGTCTGAAGCCAGAAACCTGAGTCTCCACCCAGGTCTCCCATGTGGGTGGCAGGGACCCAAGCACTCGGTCCATCTTCTGCTGCTTTGCCACATGCATTAGCAGGGAGCTGGATCGGAAGTGGAGCAGCCTGGACTCAAAGTTGCAAGCAGTGGTTTACCGTGCAGCACTGCAACTCAGGTCACAGCACCACAGTTGAATGTTTGGGAGGATGTTTCCCTCCCTGGACACACACACAGAGGGAAAGAGCAGGAGGGAGCATGATGGTCACCTGGGGGAGAGTGGGACAAGAGAGGCTGAGTGGGGTGGCCATGACAGGAGGTCCAGGCACCGGATAAAGGCAGGAAGGGCAGCAGGCAGTCCCAAGATCCACTTGACCCCACTGTCCTTGTTAGTGAAAGCTCAGAGGTAGCCAGGACAGACAGAAGGGGTTGGGGACATCTCATGGAAAGAGGGGCAGGCCACTCATACTGGCCTAATATCCAAGGAACCCAAAGCCCAGGGGATGGGCCCGAGTCTCCAGACAGGCAAGGCATCCTACCACCACCATGGGGAGGGACCCATTTCCGGGTTCAGTCCTCTGGAGACATGGGCAGGGGCACTTCAAGCCCCCCGAGGCTCCTGGCATCTCTCCTGGCTCCCCTTCTTTTTTCCTCCATCACTCACCCTCATTGCCCTCCTCTGAGAGTCAGCAATTGGGTGCCGCTCTGGTGACAGTGGCCAATCCAGACTCAGGTCCCTGTCTCAGGGAGCTGCTGTTCAACTGGCGTGCTAGGTGGGAGAGAAATCTAGAGACTTGGGGGTCACCTGTGGGCCTAAATCTAGTGGGACCAAGGGAAGAAGGGGAGTGGCTATACCTGCAGAGTCTTCCCTGGCCTTCCAAGATGAGCCGGATGGGTCCATAGGAGGCCACAGCGGCTCTCAGAGCTTTAGGGGTGCCCAGGGGGTCTCATTTGCTGCTGTGGGGAGCCCTGGAGCACGAGTTGACTTCCGCTTGGGGTAAGGTGGATTTAGGTGGCTGGATGTCTGAGATGAAGGTATAGGGGTGGGACCCCCCCCCATCTCCACCCTTCACCAAGGGACTCACGCATGCAGGGAACAGGGGATGGGTGTGGGAACTGAGGCAGAGGAGGAGAGAGAAGGAGGGTAGAGCATGTGAGGAAGAAGGTGAGGATGGAGGGGAAGGATAGGGCAGGGGGCTCTGGGAAGAGAGGGAGGCAGGCGGAGTGGGACAGGTCTTGGCAGGTGAAAAGAAAGGCTGGGGTATGCTGTGAAGTGGAAGTATGTGAAGCAGAGGAGGACTGTCAGAAAGAGGGGGTGGGGTGGGGAGAGATGTCAGGAGGAGGGGATGGGGTGGGGGAGGGCTGTCAGGTGGAGGGGATGGGATGGGGGAGGGCTGTCAGGAGGAGGGTGTGTGATGGGGGAGGGCTGTCAGGAGGAGGGGGTGGGGTGGGGAGGGCTGTCAGGAGGAGGGTGTGGAATGGGGGAGGGCTGTCAGGTGGAGGGGATGGGGTGGGGAGGGCTGTCAGGTGGAGGGGATGGGGTGGGAGAGGGCTGTGAGGAGGAGGGGTGTGGAATGGGGGAGGACTGTCAGGAGGAGGGGAGGGGTGGGGGAGGGCTGTCAGGAGGAGGGGTGTGGTGGGGAAGGGCTGTCAGAAAGAGGGGGTGAGGTGGGGAGAGATGTCAGGAGGAGGGGATGGGGTGGGGGAGGGCTGTCAGGAGGAGGGTGTGTGATGGGGGAGGGCTGTCAGGAGGAGGGTGTGTGATGGGGGAGGGCTGTCAGGAGGAGGGGATGGGGTGGGGGAGGGCTGTCAGGTGGAGGGGATGGGGTGGGGGAGGGCTGTCAGGTGGAGGGGGTGGGACGGGGAGGGCTGTCAGGAGGAGGGTGTGTGATGGGGGAGGGCTGTCAGGAGGAGGGGGTGGGGTGGGGAGAGATGTCAGAAAGAGGGGGTGTGGTGGGGGAGGGCTGTCAGGAGGAGGGGATGGGGTGGGGAGGATTATCAGGAGGAGGGATGTGGGATGTGGAGGACTGTAGGGGAGGGGGTGGGACGGGGAGGGCTGTCAGGAGGAGGGGGTGAGGTGGAAGAGAGCTGTCGGAGGGG